TAGACGGATTCGATTCAAACCCGGATTGGTGTCACTAACTAAAGAGGAGCGACATGCTTTACGGGCAAGGACGGTCGCTGCGTACACTGTTGGCGGTCCGGGTGCTGCTGTAGGTGTTCAAGCTCGCATGGAAAGCACACACTTCAACATATCCGTCATGGACCAGGTTGATGAGCTCATAGCTCAGGAAGCAGGTCATATGGTAGACGCGGAGTAGAAATTCGGTCGTTGATTACCCTCAATGGATAAGAGGATGAATTGATAACTGTATGCGAGAGCGAGATTCAAGACTAGTAGTTCTGTTCGATACTGCGTCAAATCTGCTCTCCGCTTCCACCTATCACGTAATACGAAGCAAATTCACTTCAAAGTCTTGTATTGAATGTCTCGTGGTTTATGCTAGTGACTGCCCGTGACTCCCCAAGTTTTGACAAGTAAACATCAGGCGGCTTCGTGAAGCCATCCAAGAATAACAACAGTGTGCGAGATCTGAATGGCTGCGTTGGCTCACTCGATCTTATCCATCACGGAGCGTCATTGCCGTGCTTTGAGTTAACGAAGCGACTGCAACTTTCTATTGCAAATATTTGGAATACAATTAGAACAAGTGGCGTCACAGGGGTCTCACCCGAACACAAGGTAACACGAAAGAGTTTGGCCTGCATAGATTCGCCCTCAGTAGGGTTAGTATCAAAAGAGAAGTACACTCAAGCGGGGAATGCTCACGGGTTCTACCGAGCTCTTAAATCGACAGCATGGCCTCAAAATACCTTCCTTCACGTGTACCTATCACACAACCCCACTATTATCACCGAGCTTAGCGATTCAACAAAAATCAGAATGGGAAACCTCTTCAGCAAAGAGAAACCTATATCTGCAGCGGCGATCGAGGAGATGTATGCCGCGCAAGCTGCCGCTGCTAGGGCGCAAGGTGTGAATCATCCCAGCGAAGAAACACCAGGAGAATCCACACACGAGTCGCAGGCCAACGTGAACGATCAAACGTCCGATTCCGGTACTGAGGTAGACAAAAACCCATTCGAATTGCCGCACAGAGACCTCATAGCAATCCAACGCACGATCGAAGCCCTGAGCGGTTCCGTTCCACAGAATTCGGCTGTGTCTGCAGCATGTCACCTCACTTTGGCAGTCCGTGCCTATTACGCAAAGGCTGCCGGAGCTTTCGAATACGCCGTTGCTGAGCTAAGGAAGATGGGAGTTATCAATGTAGCCAAGGTCCTAGCCGCATGGATAATGGCACGCCAGTGGGAGACAGCGGCCATTGTTGTTCCATTGATCCTTGTAGCCTGTACGCCCGCCGTACTTGGAGTCGTGGGCTTTGGCTCTGGTGGAATCGTAGCAGGTAAGCCATAGCATTAGTCAAGTGCAAATCAGACATACTGATAATAACCAGGAAGTATCGCGGCTGGTATTCAGGCGGGTATTGGCAACGTTGCTGCTGGATCCACATTCGCCGTTCTCACAAGTGCTATGATGGGCGGATATGGTATTTTCCCCGTGTTTGGAGGGGTTTGGGGAATTAGCACTATGGTTATGGGTGGTATCGCGCTTTGGAAGCGTTGGAGAGGCTCTGGAGATGACGGCGCGGACCACGACTGTCCTCTTGCCATCAAATATAATGATGAGGATAATAGCAGCGACGACGATAGCGATGACTCTGGAGCGAAGGGAGTCATGTGCAACTGAGACATTGCTGCAGAAGACGTTAGTCTGGAGTTTCCGACGAGTGTCGCATGGCCTTGTGTTAATGTGAGGAGGCCCCCATATCTCTTATTAGGCCAACTTGGGTATACAACAAGGGAATCGGGAGTCAAAATATTGAAGGGTGCCCCGAATAGATTACTTGAGTACCATGGATCTTCCAATCACTGCCACTTTACACTACGGTAAAAAATTGTTTACTGTAGAATGGTACGCTAGGGGTTTACTATATAGGTGTAAACTAACCTCGTGTATACCTGTAAATAGGTTTAAAGTAGTGGTTTACTTTTTTATAGTATAAATATAGTGTGGTTTACTATAGACCTATTAGTAGAGTGAATAAAGTAGTTTATAATAGACCTATTAGTAGAGTATATAAAGTAGTTTATAAAAGATAAAATATAAGTGTTAGGTATAGTAATAATAGTATTAGATTTTTTTTAGTATCCTTATATAAACTACTAGTACGTTATTGCCTATCCTATCCCTAGGCCTAACCCGCCTAATTAACAGCCTATACCTGCCTAATTAACAGGCCTAAAACTGCCTAATTATTAGCCTATACCTGCGTAATAATTAGCCTATACCTACGTAATTATAAGGCTGTCCACTACGTACCTTACTTATTTTTAGAAAACTATAGTATAATATAAATTAAATAGGTATACAAGTAGTATAACTGCGTGGTAATTAGTATAAGTTAGTATATCTAATAATAGTCTAGTGTAACACATAGATAATATACTTACCTAATAAATACTAGTATATTATATAGCAATAGTGTTAGTATAAAGAGCCTAGTACTATAAAGCTAGATATAGACCTATTATCTTACTTAACTATAGGTAGTTAGTCTTAGACTATCTACGTTTATTAATAATATATAGCTTATTACTAGGTTAAAGTTAAGCGCCACGTCTATAGTAAACTATAGCTACTCCTATAAGGTTAATAATTGTTATTATTTAAATCTATTTAATACTATTATTATCTTCTATTATCTTCTAAGGTTAGGCTAGTTAGCCTATAGTAGTAGCAGGTTATATCTATTACTATTAAAGTACTCCTGCCTATTTAGAGTTATTAGCTAGATCTTAAAATAGGTGTATTACTATCCTAAAGGAGAGCTAAATATAGTTATTATAATTATTTCTAGTAGCGTAATATATAATAAATATAGTGCTCTAGGGGTAGTTACTATCTTTATAATTCCCTAAAACCCTAATAGTATACCTATTTAGAAGTATATAATAGTTATATATAACTATATCCTAGGCGCGTATCTATATAGTATACACTATAGTTATAATTATAGTATAAGTATTATCTAGGATACATCCCTAGTGCGCATCTATACTACTATAAGACTTAGATTTTAAATAGTGCTCTTATAGCTAAGTTATAATTATATTTTTATTAATATTATACTCTATACTAAGCCTAAGCTATTACGCGTGGATAATACACTTATATACTAGCATATTCTACTCTAAACTAATATACTTCTAGGAAGGAGAAGTTGCTATCTTCTTAATATAACTAATAAGCCTCTCTAAAGGCTATTAGGTATAGTATATAGGTAGTCTAAAATCCCTAGTATTAGATATAAGGTAGAGTAGGTAATAGATCTAAATAAAGCAAGATAGTAACTACTCTACTTTACTATAGTAGTAGAGTAACTTATACTAGCAAATAAAATTCTCTACTAATAGTTCTAACTTATTAATCTAGTTAATAGTAAACTCCCTCTAGCTTATATAGAAGAGTAGTTTATAGTAGCGTAGGAAGTTATTAGTATATTCCTTCTAAAGATAGACCTATATAGCTAGCGCTCTATAAGTAAGTATAAAAGTCTACTATTTAAACAAAGTCTATATCTTGTATATTATAGTGCTTTATAGGGTAGTGCTAACTTAGGTTAGTACTAAGGAATAGGACTTGTAAAGACCTTTATTAATTAAAGCCTAATTAGCGTTAGTAATAAGCTATAGTATAGTCTTGTTATTAAATTTATCCCCTTTCTAGAGTTAGAATAAGGCTTTAGGTATATTATAGGACATTACGTGTATAACATTAATAGGAAAGCTATAAGGAAAGTGTATAGTAGGGAGGTCTAATAGGATAGAGTAGTAGTTAATACTAGTATCTTAGCGTAAGGTAGTATATCTAGAGGCTAGTATATTAGTCTATTATTTATATATATCTTTAATAGTAGTAGCTAAATTATTATATATAACTAGGTAAAGGGTATCTTTATTTAGGAAAGAGTATTTACTAGTTCTCCCCTTAGTTCCTTTATATAGGTATAGGTAGTAACTCCTTTTTAATATACTAGGCTGTTTTATTCCTATAATCTCTACTATAGCTAGCCTATCTCTAGTTATTAGTATAAGGTAGGCGTAAAAGATAAATTCTTCCTAAGTGTCTATATTGTATATATAAACTCTAACTATAAGTTAGCGTAATTCCTCTACTATTAGGTATAGCTAAGTGTCTGTAAATTTTTTATTAAAAGTACTAGGTATAATAGTAGTAACAAGTATATTATAGTCTTAATCCTAAATAGATAGGTAAAGGTTTAAGATATATAGCACTACTAGTGTAATACTTTATTATTTCTTAGGGTTCTTTACTATACCTACTACGTCTAATATAAGTTATAAAGCTAGATCCCTAGGGTCTTAGAAGTATCCTTTCCTACTATATTCTTAAAACTAGTCCCTATTATACACGTCTTAGTGCGAAGTACATTTGCTAGTAGGGTTAAAAGTTACCTAATACGCTTTTAATTATTATAACTAATAACTATTATTATACTAGATACGTAGTTATAGAAGTATAGGGATATATTACTATTAATATTTTAATTTGCCTTTCTTATTATACTAAGCTCACGCCAAAACACACCGCTTAACGACAAAATGGTCAAGCCTCGGTGTGAACGTCAGCAGGGATGTTCACATAAAGCGTTCTAACGCGATAACGATTCCAACCACTCCATTGCCTACAGCGCATACACGCCCAGCAGCTAG